GAAAAATGTAAGAGAATTTTAAGGATTTAAAGAACGAGTGAGGAGGGATAGAACAAAAAGGCCAATAAAAATGTTAAGATGACGAGGTGAGCCACTGCAATAAAAAGGACTCGTTAATGAAAAGTTACGATTAGTTGCAGTCATTGGCTGTCCTTAATGAAGAAATCGAGCAAAACGCCAGCAGAAATCTAGACATAGTAGCCGATCGATAATGGCGCACTAAATTATATTTAAGTACCCTAAATAAAGAATTAGTACTATATATGCTTTTAAAGATCCCTAACCAAAACTATCATAGTTTGAAAAAGAAACAACAATTTATAGCCGATTGAAGTTAATAAACGACCCATTTCAAAATATAATCCCCAGAATGACCACTTACCCAGCACATATAGGACAATATTAAACAGGCAAGGAAGCATAAGAAGCAAAAATTTAGAACTCCATATGAGAACTGTGTACGACCACAACATTTTAAATATCTTACGCTAGACATACACATACATGCACGCACACACACAGACTCATACACATAAAAATATAATGATAAAAGTAGGCATTAATTAAGATATTTGTAAATGTGGAGATAAGCAATCTAGATTAGTTTTATACAAAAAAACTAGAGACCCACGGCTGCGTGGTGCAGCCAATACACGTATGGGTCTAATATGTAAGGATAGTAGCAAGAATATGTCAAGAATGGTTGTAATATGAGTGAAATTTATTATAGCATGCCCAAATGGAGCTATTTCATATAAATACCCTGAATCAGCTCACCTTCTTAAGAAGCAAGGCGTTATCTCTCTTCACCTCATTCAACCTCTCTTCCGCCTCTGCAGCCTCCTTAACCGCCAGCGCAGCCAGCCCAGCAGAATGACGCACAGTTGTCAACTCCTCCGCCAACCGATGATTCTCGACCTCCAAGCGTAAAAGGCGAGCACTCGAGGCCTCTGAGAGCTGGTGGTCCAGAGACAAGCCACCCCCAAGTGATCGCCCCATGCTAGTTATATTAGCACCACAATCCGCAATAGAGCGAACACGACGTTCATAACTCATACTTGGTGTTGTCAATGCTGTTGGAATATTGCTCTTGCGTCGATTTTGGGGGCGTGATTTGCGATTAGATTGATGATGAGAGCAAGAATGACTATGTTTATGGTAATCAGAGGATCTATCATGCAAAACATGTGATGGTTGTTCCTGACAATCCGAGTGGTCGATCTCCTGGAAGGCTTTGTCTTTGCAAATCTCTTCGATATTTTCGTCGATATTCACTATTTCCTGTTCGATAATTTGAATGTCCTGTGTGCCAGATTCCTCCAGTTCTATTGGCTCGTGATTGGGCCTTACAGGCGAATGTGAAGATGAAAAAGAGCCAGAGAAACAAGGTGAGGTGGGGCAGGAAAGTGAACTGGCCGAAGAATGAAGACCGATAGAAGCGGAGTGTCGGCGAGCTAGATTCTCAAGGCGAAGACAGCCAATTTCCTCCCGCAAAGCTTGAATTTCGTCCAGATCAGTATCGTGAATCTATAGGCAAATTTGAAATAAGTTTAAAATAAAGGGAATTAGTAAGGAAAAAGGAAGTATAATAATAGATGGGTGAAAAAAAATATCTAGACTATCTGCGCTTAACTAAGGAATTGTGCCAGAAAAGTAGGTGTAGTTAAATGGATGCCACTTATTAGGTAAGACGATTGACTACTAACAGCCATTTCAAAAGTGAAATTGGCCAAAAATGTGTACAAATTTAAAAATATAAAATAAAAGCTGTATTTTTCCAAAATGGCATAAGGTGATGAAATACTGACAAGTGAGTTTTCCCACAATAAGTTGAGTAAGCCTCACGTCTTTATTCGATTTCAAATAGTCTTTCTTATCAGAAGATATTCTTACCCAGAGTGGAATGCACTTTTGGACTAGCATATGCCCCCTTATTACTCCAAGCAGGATTTCCATCCAGGTGTTCTGTGTTCTCGACACATTACCACTACACCATGTTGCCACGAGTCCCGTTGGGTCACAAAGCAAGCGTAAATTTTGAGAACAAAGCTTTTCGCATATCAAATTTTTGTAATGATATTGGCTATTAAGTAAACAATCGAATAAACTTATTAAATTCGTATTGAATATGTTTCAAAATTACCAGTAGATTTCGAATAAGAGCTGCTACTACAAAAATGTGATATAGGAAAAGTGACTTTCCTTGAAATTCACGTCTGAACTGTGACCCAGAGGAACTCGTAGTAGTGTTTTGTAGTGGTAATTTGTCGAGAACGCAATACATTACTTGAATTTGAATCCTGCTTGGGGTACTAAGGAGCCCTAAGCGAACAAAAAATTACATTTTACCGTTAATAGGAATATCTTTTGGAAAGCAAAGTTATGTGAAATTTAATGGAAACGTGATGCCAACACAGCTTAATGTGGGAAAATAAATTTATCAGTCCTTCATCACTTTATATCACGTGGGGAAAATACATCTCTTATTCAAGATCTGGTAGCTTCAAAACGTACTAAATTCGTAATAAGAACATTAAGCCTAACTGGATATAGACTATATTTCGTATAGAAAGTGATCATTTTCAACACAATAGTAATGGAGCGAACGGAAGTTGAAATTTGGAACAACATAAATGGAAAAAATTAATAATAGTGTTGATTTAATATCGTTTTTGCGACTTGATCGGAAGGGCAGGGAAGCGTGAAACGTACCGACCTCCGCAATATTATTCATGATGATGTCCGCACCGGATGGTTGACATATAACTCTGTGCTAAATATGCCGCCTCCTACTGAAGATACCGGCGAAATATCTAGGAATATACCAAGTCAATTATCTGATGCTAGAAATAATCATGAATACTATTGCAGAGAACACATGACTAGGAACGTCCGACAGTTATCCTATCGCTTCGATGAAGTTGTGAAAACAAGGTCAAGCCCAAACTATACAACTAAAGAAGACTGCGACCAAATAAAAAGCCGTACAATCTTGGTCTTCATATCTAGGAAAAATACTATATGCTTATTTGACAATCACGCTATAAATGTGATATAAAAGAGGGTTTGGCTGTTGTAAATGAAAATTTGTACTGCGAATCACTGGTAGCAGTAGTAATGTAATAGTGGTATCATCGCTAACATAATAAAAACCGATATCGAATCTCTTTGGGAGTGCCGAGGCGACCTAAGGGAGGTAAAAACTTCAGTCTACTTTGGAAGAGAGCATTAAAAGACATCGTGAAGCCTAGCTATCTCATTGTAGAAAAACTCAACTGTCAGTCCTTAGGTCACCTTAAGCGACCTAAGGTGACTAAGCTCTTATTTTAAGAATAAAAAATAAAATGTATCTGAATTTTTAAAATGATAGAATTGATAGAATTGAAATAAAATGATTGTATATGTTTGTATACTATCTTGGTACAAGATGAAGGACTGGTACTTGATTTCCCAACAAATATATGAATAGAAACTACTTTTCCGGTAAATTTCACATAGGTTTAATTATCTCAATTCCTGGTCTCGATGATTAACATCTACCAGGCGCAAGCTGAAACTAGGGAAACAGATAAGCACAACCATGGCATTATGGCCAAAATATAATAGAAGTCCACTATAAATTCCTCAGACGACGAGAGATAGGCGTCCACAGTTTGCTCAAGTAACACGGATTTAA